AATTTCAAGAATGGATATTGGGAAGTCGTTTAAAGGGAAAGGGAAAAACAAAAGATGGGAGGAATGTAAACATTGACGAAGCGATGAATAGTAACAATGATTTAAATGAAAATAATAATGGGGAGAATTTAATTTTCACAGACACTTCGGACTTCACTAATAATAATGGGGAGAATTTAATTTTCACAGACGCTTCGAACTTCACTAATAATAATGGTAATGGACAATATAATGACAGTAACATGGAATTTGACGAAAGCGAATTGGATGAATACGTAAGAAATGAAGAGGAGGCAAGTAATCAGGGATTGTTTAATTTATTTTTAAATATTCGTATAAACATGATATTTATTTTCCATAATTAATTATAGGTTGAAATGTTTAAAAAAGTCTGGGAAACATTACAATCGAATGTTCTAGAAAAATCCGATGACAAGAATATTCAACATAAAAAAATCACGAGACAGCCAAGACTTCATGAAAAGAGTAGCGTGGAAGATAAAACTTCTATCTGTAATGAGAAACTTTCTTCTGATAGTGAATCATCGATTTACACAGATAAAACTATACAAAAAGTAAATAATAATAAGCGTATCAGAATAGAAAAGCCTAAAGCTAACGTGAAAAAACTAAATATTGACTTTTCTTTGATTGATAAAATCAACTTTGATGATTTTAATCATATTTAATTGTTGACCCAATAAACCGATTCGCTTGATAACAACGCATTGAGAGATTATCAAATCGTTTATAATTCGAACTATCCCTTTACTATTGTCTGAGATACGCTCATCAATAATTCCGAAGGAACTCGTTGTGCAAAGAATAAGGCCCAAATTAATTTATGCTATACCGTAAGGAGAACGAATTAAACCTATAAAAGGAAAACAATTTCTTTCCTGTAATGTAAATAATTTTAATGACTAATATAAAAACCCTAGTCACATGATTCATCTTTTATCAATAAATAATAAAATTTGAGGAAATCATTTTTAACCTTTTCACTAGAATTCCAAAAAAATGTCCAATAATGGGTCAAAATACACGGTTCCTATAAAACCAATTCGAGACCTTCTAAACCCGAAATTTGAAGGGTATAAGCTAAAAGTTTTCGATGAAAATTCGCGATTACTACACTTTCGACTTCCACCACCTGGAATAACATTATCTAAAATACCAACAAATAAAAAATTATCATATAAAGAAATTCTAAGTCGAAGTCATTTTAATCATTTATTTAAAGGCTTCGAAATAAAAGAAAAAGTAATTTGTTTTTATTTTGATTCGGAAAATTTTGTGGTATTAGTCGAATATGATATGGTATTTTTCATTTTATTAATTATAAATTTGATCTAAATTAAAATGAATTAGATAATGATTTGCTTTGGATATTTAGGTAACAAGTAATATTGTAACCCATCGTCTTTTAAAGATCCAACAACCAAATTATTCTGGAAATGCTGGGGAAAAAAATTCTTCACATCAATTATATTCCAATTATTCTTCCTTACGAGCTCTCTCATCAAATTTAATACTCGTAACAAATGGATCAGGAGAGTTTGTTCTTGTCCAAATTACTAAAAATGATGATACTAATTTATACTCTTCCGAAATTTTATATCAGGTTGGGTTTCAAGGACATTCACCAAAACTTCATTCGAATTATATACCATGTGTTTTACTCGATGGTAGAATTGTGGGAGATGATATCCTATTTATAGTTTATAATCGTGCTTTAAATCCTATGTCAAGTGATCCAACAAAGGAAGTGCAAAATGTTATATTTGATATTAGTTTATTACAAATTCCATTGACACCACCATTTGGAATGAAAATTATTCATGTCCTTCGTGGACCAGATATTCCTCTTTATTGTAGCATTGAATTTAATGGAACTGGGTATGTAATTGGTAGCAATTCAGAATATGAAGTAGTGTACAAATTATCGACTCAAGAGGACACTATGGAGCCAATGGACATTGAAAATGATCAAAAGTCAGCAGAGCAAAATGAAAAGTCAACAACTGTTCAAGAAATAAAGAATACATCACCATATATTTGGACACAAACTCCTACGGATATTACCATTTATTTTCAATTACCACGAGGAACACCGAAAACTGCCATTCATTGTAATTTTTCTCAAACTCATCTTTCATTAACAGTTAATCTTGGTGATACTCCTCCTTACACTACCGAACATCCACCCATTCCTTGTTATGCGTTTACTCGTTTATTTGACCTGATTGATCCAAGTGTTTCTTTGTGGACTATTGAACCAACGATTGGCCTACTCACATTACACCTTGAAAAGCAAGATCATAAAACGCGCTGGTCGCATGTCTTCCAACACGATGATGGAGTTTTTGAGACTCTTGACCCAAATGAATTTGCCGAATTCCGCGAACGTTTGGAAAAATTCACAGCAGATGCCAATGAACAATTAAATCAATCAGAGTTCAAGCGTCTTCAACATCCAATTGGTCATGAGATGGAAGAGTCCATTGATTATGAAGGACAATCATCCATCTTTATGTGGTTTGATCGAGATGGTAGTTTATCAGCAAAAGCGTCTGGTGGTAATGAATTTCTCTGTAAACAATTTGAAAATTTAGAAAATACTGGATTTTCTGACAATATTTCGTCATTACCTTCTGTTTGTTTGAAATCCGACGTGGATGGTATTGTATATTCAATTAGACATTCAACCGATTCTTCTATATCAGTCGTGTCACCTTTAATAATGACACATGTTGCAACTTTTAATGCATTTGCATTTGTTCAAGCCTCTAAAAGGGAAAAGCGCTTTATGTATCACGATCCAGAAAATCGTTTCGCGATTATTCTTGAAGGGGATCATCGAGCTTTTGTTTATAGACGTCATGAAAGTTGTGAAAACCATGATGAGCAATTTGTAATAGAATTGGCAGTCAATTCTAACGATGATTCAGAAATAATTGGTTTGCAAATGGTTTCGATTGAGAATGCGCATATCATGATCCTTAAATCAAATTCGATTATGTTAATAAAATTATTATAATTTATATGTAATTAACACAAAAATAATATAAAGAAAATAAATATGTACAGTATTTATTTAAAAAACAAATTTTTATTAGAAAGTTTATCATCATTTTATTTTAAAGTGATTTATAACTTTTCGGAAAAATAAGGTGTGAACAATTGTTATGACCATTCAAACGTGACGTGAAACTCTGATAAAGAAATCATCACTATGCCAATCAAGTTGATTAATGATGGACTTTTTTAAGTGAATCGATATGTAATTTAACGATTTAACTTAACATTTATTTCTCATTTCTGGAACCTTCTGTTAACTTTGCGCTTTCCAGTCTCCACTTAACAACATATTATTTAGTATCATCGTTTCTCATTAATTTTCTCCATCTTGCCAGAAGGCCTTAACTACTTGGGTATTTTGCATTTCCTTTTTATGAAAAAATAATTTCGTCAAAGATCAAAACACATCGAACGCGTTAGTTCATCAACGACATGGCATAATTAGATTGCCAATTAATTTTTTTCCTTGAAGTTCGTAATAATGCATTTAAATTTCCACCAGCAATTCATCACGCTAACAAATAATATGCATGAAAGTGATGTGATTGCGCTCTTCTGGCCGGGTTTTATTGTAAATTTTGTCGACTCGAGGACCAAATCACGTCCGTCCAGCTTTTTGCTAAAGATGTGTTTAACTACAAAACGTTTTCAATTATGATTTGGATAGTAGGAGCGAAATTTTTGATCCTTAAATATTCAATTAATAATTAGTCATCCGATTTTGATGAATTTAAACTCATTATAACCTTATCATTGAAAGGAATCGAATTGTGTATTTCAACCCTATTTGACCCTCTTTTGGGTTTCAGTATGATAGATAAAAAGTATATTTGTGAACTAAATCATTAAGTTTATTAAATTAAATTGGTAATTGGTAATAAACATTCAGTAATATTCTATATATAATGTACAAATACTGTAAATATAAATAACTACAACTATTTATTTTTTTTAAAGATTTTCTTAAGTCTAGTAGCTAATCCTAATCCAAATGTAGTATTATTAGTAGGTGATGCGTCAAAGTTAGCAGGATTTTTATCTTCAACTTCTAAATTGAGGTTATTTACACTTTTTGATGTTCCTTCACCTGCATAGTTTTCTTGATTTAATTCTTTAACTTCAATTGGTTTATCAGTCATGGACACTATACTCTTACGTATTTCTGGATCAACCGTGTTTATATCAATCGGCTTTCCATCTTCATCAACATAAACAACCGAATTCCTTATCTTTTCGGCTTCATCAGGTGAAAGTGACTTTCCATCTTCATCAACATATACAACTGAATTCCTTATCTTTTCGGCTTCATCAGGTGAAAGTTTATTGCCTTCTTCATCAACATATATAACTGAATTTCTTATTTTTTCGGCTTCATCAGGTGAAAGTGACTTTCCATCTTCATCAACATATACAACTGAATTTCTTATATTTTCGGCTTCATCAGGTGAAAGTTCATTGCCATCTTCATCAACATATACTACAGATTTACGTGAATCTAAGCTAACAGTTGATGATTTATTTTCACCTTCATCTACATAAATCAAAGTATCTGATTTATCACTACTTGTGCTGTTTCGTTGGTTAAGCGATTTATTCTTTTCTGGAGTATCTTCGGATGGTGGTAAAATTATTGAAGGTATGTTTGCTTTAAATTCCCCGGGTTGTTGTGAATTCGGTAAATCGTTTGTAGTATTTGGTGTACTATCCGAAGCATCTCTTTCTGGAATACCCGTTGATGGGACACCAGTCTGTGAGTCGGTTGGTAATTGACTTTTACCATTCGGTGAACTATTCGGAGCACCTCCCGTTCGTGGTCCAGTTGGTA